TTCATTTAGTGTAATAGATGTTTTCATTTGGTGTGGATTTTTTTTTGTGCTACATAGATAACATATGGTCATTAAATCAAGATTTTTTTTTGAAGTTTGATGAGGGTATTACTGATAGTTTATATAATGCATTGAATTCCAATGTATTACTGATAATTTATGTGATGCACTGAATTTATGGAGTGAAGACGAATTTTTCCATTTAGTGCAAAGAATTAGTTCATCCAGTGCAATGTAATGCACTTATTGCCCATGTCAATGCATTACATAAATAACCAATAATGCATGAATGACTCACAGTCAATCTTTTTAATCACCATGCATATTGCTGAATTAATAAGAAAATGTAATAAAAATTAATTTACTGCATATATTTTATAAGTTAAATACTTGCACAACACAATCCACAAAATATAAGTTAAATACGAGACTATTTAGTGCAGTACATTAATGCAATACAGTACTGCGCTCAAAGAATGATCAGGAGGAAAAAACGTCATTTCTTCAGACCCCTGCTTCAATTCCCATCTAGTTTGTGCTCTTTCTATTCCCTATTTTGTTTTTGTGAGAACACGATTATGATTGGTTAAAATGTTAAATCATTCATTAATTTTGTTCCTAAAAACACGGGATTGGTCTTCCATCTTTAATTATGCATTTATGGTAGTTTGGATTCTTTCCTATCCTAAAACCCATTATAGGAATGTATGTTAAGGTCAAATTTGTCTTTCAATTCTCCTTAATATTACGGTTATAAATGTTTTATTCTCATTACTCATTAGAGTCATATGTTGGGAAATAAACATACTTGGTCATATTTGGAGAAGGGAAAAGATGCAAATAAGCACTCGAACTAATAAAAAAGTGCAAATAAGCCCTTTTGTAGGAGGTTCTGTCCGATCATCGTCATTCGGGAAGGTTCTCGGTGGAATTTTTTGATGAATTTTTTTGAGCATTTTCTTCATTAAGTCTAGTTTAGCCATACCGAATTTCAGCTAAAAATTCAACCGGGAAAGCACTCAAATGATTTTCGGAAATATACTGCGTGGTTTAACTGCGCAGTTATCTTCAAAAATTCATTTGACTGTCTTCCCGGTTGCATTTTTAGCTGAAATTCAGTAGGACTAAACTAGACTTAATGAATAAGATGCTAAAAAAATTACATCAAAAAATTCCACCGTGAACCTCCCTAAATGACGATGACTGGATGGAACCTCCTACAAAAGGGCTTAATTGCACTTTTTGATTAGTTTGAGGGCTTATTTGCCCCTTTTCCCTTTGGAGAATTGTAATGAGTTTTAGTCATATATAGGTATTTATCCCTATATAAAGGATTCACAAGGCTAAAATGATCTTTGTGGTGTTATGTTTTAGCATCACGAGGCATGGGAAAACTACGTGATTACGTCTTTACGTCTTTACGTCTTTACATACGTGCATACCAGTTTATTTACACACTTTCTAAATTAATTAAACACATGAGTTTATTTGTGAATTATATATAATGTATTTGCAAGTTGAATTTTATTTGTAAATGTTGTGTCCAATAATTCATTTTCTTTTTTTTGACAAAATACTTTTCTTGAAAGTAAATAACTTATCTACTTTCTTTTTAGAAAAAGATATTTATGTTTTAAAGTTTCACGTTTTTGACTATGTTGTTTAGATCGATATGGAGTACATATTTGTTCCATATAAAAAATTATGTGATTACAAACATACATAACAAATAATATATCACCAAAATATCATTGTCATGCAACAACATGCAAAATATAAATTACGATTTAGCATATAAAAACATATTAGTATTATAACAATAGACTTAAGTGTATGTTCATGGGTTTCACTTAATTAAACCATAAATATTAAATGTAGTATATATCATAATAAATCTGGTATATATCAAACATTATATTAACTTTCTAGAATTAAGAATTAGAAACTAAACAAATCATTATACTTAGTGATTAATGATGTGTACTATTTAGTAGTGCATAAACACCACATTTTAGAATGGTTTGTACATTATGTTTACTTAGCTTTTGTACAATTACGGTGTAATCTTTATCTTCTAAAATTAAAGTAGAATTAGAAGATATTAAGATATTTTGATATGTAAGCAAAAACATGATGAAAAGAAGAGGAAGGAGCTTGAGAGCATAATGAAGGAGCATTGGAGACAAGAGGAAGCTTCATGGAGAACAAAGAAATGTGAAAAATCGGATATGATTTGACCCGGAGATCATAAGAGATCAAATAAAGTAAGTGAACATGGGAAATCAGATTATGTCTTAGACCCAACCACCTCACTTCTCGTATAAAAACACCCCTTTCCTTCCTATTTTAGATACCAATTTAATCCTCTCTTTCATATACACTTTATTCTTGTAATTTAGGTAGTCTTTCCATCTTGGTTTTGCTACATTGAACCTTAACGAATTGTAAGTTGTGAGTTATTTTCTTTAATCTTCTTCCTCGAATATTAATTTTTCCCTTAATACTATCTCTATATTAATGTCGAGGAGCGTTACTAAGATGACAATTGATTAACATCTCGACATTAGTTAGAGTAGTATTTATTTTCTTCCTCTATATTATTGTTGGGGAGTGTTACTAAAATGACAATTAGTTAACATCTTGACATTAGTTATAGTAGGATTTATATCTTCTTTAATATTCTTCCTTGAATATTAATTAATTCCTATTCATATTTCATTTTAATATTTTGAGCATTACTTAAAGGATCAACTAGTTTTGTCTCATATATTAATTATTACTAGAATCGATCGACGAATACGCTTGTTAATCGTTCGATCTTTTCACGGTAGTAAACTTGGATTATTAATGCATGCGTCTCATGGTTAATAATCTAAGGGGAATTAATTATATTGATTAACCAATAAACCGCTTGTGTTGAGGTTATCAATTTCAATCGTTTTCATCTTGAATTTATTGCTACTATCGAGTAAATATACGACGCGTGTTCTATATTAATTCGGTAGTAAGTTTTATTAATGAACGCGTCTCGTTATTAATAACTACCCTCGATGAACTGGATATACTCCTCGATTGAGTATTCGAGAGGAAGATAGTTAAAGATATAACCGGGATCGACGAACATTTGATTAAGTGGATAAAAGCAAAACCAAGACTAATTACCTTTGATATTTTATTCCACTCATTTAAGTATTTTATTTGCTTTCTCAATTATCAAAATATCCAATTCCCCCTTCCGTTTACTTTTATTTATTACGCTTACACATACGCGAAAAGCTCCTTTCCCTGTGGATACGAACTCTACTACGTTATACTACGGTATTAGCCCTTAGTAGTGAATTTAATTTGAGGCACACTACGACAAAGTGTTCGTCAATTAAAAAATCAAATAGCAAGTTTTAAAAAGTTCGGTTTGTTCGATTAGGTTCGGTTTGTTCGGTTCGATTTTGAGATGTGAAAACCAAAACCGAAACCAAACACAACTTCGGTTCGGTTTTTTGAGTTCGGTTTCGGTTTTCTTGCAGTTCGGTTGTTTTGGTTGCGGTTCGGGTTTTTTCGGTTCGGTTTTCGATTTTCGGTTTCACCGACGCACCCCTAATTCAGATAGAGAAAGCTTCACTCAAAGCGGTTTACTTACTACTCCCTGCTTAGACGAGCTTATCCTTTGAAATAAATATTTTCATGTAGAGGCCGTTTGACAACACAATTTTTCGGCTTATCAGGCTTATCGGCCAATTTTTTCACCAAACACGTAACTTTTGTTTTCGCGCGCTGAATTGTGTAATAAACAGAAAAACTAAGGTCGGAGTTACTTTTCTGGCTGTATTGTCTGAAGTGATCGTAGATGACCATTTAAGCTATTTTTACATACTCCATATAATTTTTTTTTATTTTATTAACAAAATATATTTCAAAAATATTTTTTTCTTAAATTAGCAGAATAAGCCAATGCAGCCACTTCCGCCAGAATTTCATATATTTCAATTTCTAAATCTGGCACACATATTATATTCAGGGACTTTTTTCACTGTATTTTTACTGCTTGGTGTGATTGCAATTAGCAAAACGGGGAAAAGATCATTTTGAATCTTTTTTTTGAGTAAATATTTAATATTTTGTTGAAAGAGTATTTATTCTCTATCAGCTCTACAGCTACCTTCCAATATACAATAATTTTCATAAAAAATGCAGAAAGAAAAGGAAAAAGGCAAATATGAACTTGATTATAATGTCAAACGAAAATGCATTACATGTTGGCATAAAATCATATTTGGAATTAATAATTATCACAAGTTTAACTACACTTGTGGCCAATTTTATACTTTTATTCCAATAAGTTGCACTCGTCCTCTATTCTCTCTACTTTTATTGCCATTCAATTCTACATTGGTTTCTTTCCTTCTTTAGTTCTCAAACCATAAGCTTAAATTGTTCAAACTTTATGAAGGAAATGAAAAGCCTAATGGCTCTTAAGTTCCAAGCAGTTGTAAAATGAGTTATATCCCTCCCAAATATACACCTTCAAATGAATTGACAATTGTTTTAGGAATTGAACAAAATCTAGACAGATTTCATCTGGGCGGGAACAATGCCTTTACACTATACTTATGTGGAACATGGACCAAATAAATCTCATTTGAAAATGTTTCAAATCATTTGAAATGGCAACCTACTGCCATTTCAAAGGCACAAGCAAGTTGAAGACGATTCCTAACCATCAACTGTGACATGCTCAAGATTCCCTCATGTGGCAACAAGTTTTTCCATCCACTGAACCTCAGGTTTGGTTGGTTTAGTTGGGTTCCTGTCTTTAATCTTTGTTATTGACTGACAGCCTATTTTTAGTCATTGATAAACAATATAACTACTTTGACACTGGCGGATGAAACAGCATGTTATTAGAAATCCACATCATCCCCTAGAAAAATGACCTGTGAGAACTGATGATGAATGTGATGGCTGTATAGAAAAAAAATTGTAGTTACCCAGTGAAAAGACTAATTAGATGCAATGAGGTGCTGATTTGTTTTTTGAGACAAATGAAGTGCTGATTTTTTAAAACCAATATGCAAAAGATGAAAATGAAACAAGTATTTTGCACATTCTTTATACAAGTAGATTTAAAACTTATAGCTTAATCGTTTGATTAACATGAAAGAGAGAATTTAATACATTTCAAAAGAAAAGGCGGTCGTCCCCGTTGTCAGGGTTTCAAGCTTCTCCGAAGATCGCTGTTTTGGGGGTCATGCAGCTTCGTTTCAGCGGCAGCGGGCAGACTCACTATGCGCATCAGAGAGAAAATAGGGACGAAGAGTCTCACAGCATAGCAGAGACAAAGAAGCACCCTAACAAACATGGCTGCAAAAGCAGGACAGGTGGAAACGATGATCGGGCAGTGCGACGGTTTGGAGATCGGGCTTGAGGATGATAAAATGGTGCTCGCTGTGTGTGGAGGTTGAACAACATTCTCTCTACGTAGTAGAAGAGTATTAGGAGGATCCAGGCAACCATACCAAACTATTCTGATGGGGTATAGGCGAGTGCAATTGAATGGAGCCAGGCAGATCCAATCTAACAGCTTTGTGTGTGACAATATTGTACACAAAAACGTATGTCACAGGTGCGTCACACAGAGTGAAGGCTAACAGTTCTTTGTATTTTATCCAACCAATTGGCCGGACCTCTTGCCCCTTTTCCAAACCCAACCGTTTGAATTTCCTCTTTTGATCTTTAATAACAATATCAGGCAGCTTTCTCCACTCTTTGCTTTCTGGTTCCATCTCCCAAACATGCCATCCGAACCTCTCAAACTTCATCAAGTAAGACATCTTGCTTCCAGTCGACACCCAGCAACTCCCAGGAACTCCACAACCTCGAGGCATCGGGCCTATGCTCTCCTCAACCATTTCAGTCTCTACATTTAGAGTCACAACTGAAGATACACTTGTTACCCAATGCATAAGACCCTCCGTTGTACGGGGTGAAATTTCGCCAAATCCACTCCTAGCAAGATGACAAATGTGTTTGGTACAAACGCTCCTCCAAGAATCATCCACTCCCACTGTTAATATTTTTAGCTGAGGACCAGCAACAACTGCGACCACTTTATACACCATGGAAGTTGCAGCATAAGATATACCGAAAAATTCGGAACGCGCTACATTTTTAATTCCAGGGAGCACAAAAACTTGCTTTATTACAGGGTTCACTATATATGGAGTCCATAATCCATTGTTGTATTGAAAGTCCAAAAGCAGACCGTTACAGCCAGCTGAACTACAGAGTTTGAATTTATTTAAACAAGATGTCTCCAATTGGCCTTGTCTAGCCACCATAAAAAATGCAGGTGTATATGGATAACGAAGCAGAAGACCCTGAGGTGAATGCCGGAGGTGTGCATCTATGAACCTACGGGTATGAATTATACGATACCACTTCCGACAGACATACATCGCCGCGTCATAAATATCTCGAGCCGGGACACGTGTAAGAACTTCAAAAAGCATATCATCATGAAGAGACGTTAAACTTTTTGACAATCTCCTTCTATACCTCGTCAAGTAATAAGTTCTCCCTGTAATCTGCGTCTTAAAAGAATTTCAAAATGAAAAGCAACCTGATCTATTTTTTCAATCAAAACATATATCACAACACATTATAATTTATAACAGTTCTTTATTTTTTCTTTCCAAGCATCACAGATTAATTTGGAGGGATTGGCAAAATTAAAAACGATTTTTGCACTATATAGTTGTATAATGTGATACCTCTAGAGGTTCTTCATCTTCCTCACTGGCAGTGATCAATGAGCGAGAGTGTTGAGAGGGCGGAGGCTGACGGATAAGTGATGCTTGGATATTCCCCATTATTATGTATTATTAAGTTAATTGTCAGGTAACCGCTAATCTGCTCTGGCCAGGGACTGATTGATTCCCCGACGAGTTCTTCTCCTTCCTATAGTTTCTGCGGTTTGTTTGATTCCCCGACTTCTCTCTGCGACTTGAGTTAGACAACGAAGGAAACAAACAGTCCGTAAGTCTATGAGATCCCTTTGGGCTTTGTTTTTAATCAAAAGCCTAAAGCCTTAATTAAATTAGTTTCCTAAAAAAATTAAAGGATAATTCTCTCCTAAAAAATAAGAGAACATTTTCTATAGGTGTAAAAATGTTTTGAATTTACTAAATAGGACTTTAAACATGGCTCAGGGTCAGATCCAGGAATATGGGATACCCTAGGTTGAAGAGCAATTATATTATGCTTAAACATAATCGGGGTGAGCTAAATAATAAATATGAAAAAAATTACATTAAAAATTGAAAAAATAAGTCATCTTGTGCTTCAACCTACCATAGCCCATACATAGATCCTCCTCATACATGACAGTTTTATTTTTTTAAATTTGACAGAGATTACTTCTATTTATGAAATAAAAACACGAATGTCATATTTTGGAATTTCCAAACGTGTTTACTCATATTGAAGACAATTTCTAAAAAAATTATAGCCTAAATCTTTTTTCCCCGAGCTTGCAGAATGTAGTTCGATTGGCAACGCCTATTGCGACTATTCTTCTTCCGATGAAGCGAGTGAAGCTAGCGAGCACTCCCTAGAGGCCAGAAGCTAGTTTACTGTCATTTCCTTTGAAGTTAAGTTTTAGGGTTATATTTTTGGTATATACCAGGCTTGAACAGGCGGAAACTAAAGATATGCTCAGATGACCAGGCTATAGAGGAGAGCAACCATAAAGAAAAAGAAACAAAGATAGAGAAAAATGATCACTTTTGAAGCTTGAATCAAGATTTCCTATATGTGGATCCCCCAACCTTTGTTCTTGACATATTAGTGCTGATAAACGAATTTGTACCTTTTCTTTCATGCTCGTGCTTCTTAATAGTTAAATTCTTCTCATTCTAAATTTTCAAAATATGAAATTTTTAAATTTTTTACTAATAAGGAATGAAAGATATTAATGGTCAAATTTGTGTGTTGGCAAACGTGAAATGTTGACTGTTGCAATTAAAAGGGAACGGAGGAAGTATATGGTAAGGTCATATAGGGCCTGAGCACTACTTGAAATGACAATGCACCTGGCTAGGGTTGAATGGTTGAGTATGTTTTTAATCGTGCATAGAATTTGGATCAAATAAAAAAGTCTTAACGTGTAAAATGAGAATTAATCTCATCCGTCCAAACTGTCGATCTGATGCACATCCACACTGGAATGTGCAATTTTTTGTGTATGTAGTGAAAGGCTTATAAACATTTTAAGCGCATTATCAATTTTTGAAATGTTGTAATATTATTTATAAAGTATTAAAAAATCGTATAATTTTCAAAAATTTAAAGCTTTCATCCCGGGCCGAGCAACCCGATGGACTACCCGGCCCGCTCTTACGGGAGGGTATGAACATAGGTTCAGACTCGTTTTTATGGGCCGGGCGAGACCTTGCCACACATGATGGGCAGAAATATTATAAAAAGTTCGGCCCTAGCTCGGCCCGAACCCTTTTTTTTGTGTAGGCCTAATTGAACTTTAAATACAAATGTCCAGGTTTTTCACCCTGTATGGTCTTTAGATTTTTTTAAACTTTATATATTCAATATTGATATCATATGAAAGATCACCAAAAGTTATAAAATTTGATATATTTTTGTAAAAAAATTGGATCAAGAATATGAAAGTTATATGTATTTCTGCGTATTTCTAAGGGAGTGTTTGGTTCAAGGTGATATCTTATGCATGGCGGAATCTCATGCCCGGAATGTGAGATACCTGTGTTTGGTTCGCGGGTTTGATTTTTTCTTTTGGGAATGTTACATTCCCAAAAGTGGAAAAGGTGATCACATTACCAGGCATGTCAAACCCACCAATGCCTTAGGTTATGTTAGATTCCTGATGGCTTATTAATTTTCTTCCAAAAAAAACCTATGCTTCATTAATCGAAATATCTAGATGTGGACCGAGCCCAGTCCGATTCCGGGTCGGGCCCGGATGGGCTTGGCTTTTTGGGAATGAAGCCCGGGACCGGAACGGCTGTTGACCAGTACCGGTTCGGGGCGGTCTACCCGCCCGGGGTAACGGGTCGGGCCGGGTACATTTTTCTAATTCATGTCTAAAAATTAATTCAAGAAGTGCTACATATAAAAACTTAAAGTATATTTATTTGAAACATGAACTACAATTGAAATTGAGAAAAAAAAATTAAAACATGAAATACATTTTCTAATAATTGATAAGTTTAATGTGTTAAGAGACAAATATATAAAGGACATTCAAGTAATTCACCAAATATGCAATAAAAGATATCATTCAACCAAACAACTTAATGTGACATTCCTTAATCGTAACCAAACACAAATAGGCTATACATTAATCACATTCCCATCTATCTAACATACCCAGTAATCTAACATTCCCATAGTTATCTGACATTCCTTGAACCAAACATACCCTAAGAGTTTGGCTAGCGGCTTTTTATTCAGCATTACTTTGAAAAAAAACTCTTTTAGCAAAGCTTCTTGTGAAAAGAAGGGAAAGAAACGGCAGGGATAGGTTGAAGGAATCTGAAGGGATATAAAGACAATTTTGATATGCAAATGTTGAAGGACTTGAATCTAGACAGATTCCCCCTCAAAGGGACTCTAGCTTGACGATTGACGTCCCAAATTGATATTCTAGTTATGAATTTGTAAATATGCATAATGAAATGGCAAATTAAAGTAGAACTAAATATCAAAGTTTTGCTAACCTTTAGCACTTCATGTACCATACGACCGTCCCACCATAAGCATCATGTTCTCACTCCCAAAATGACATAGTTTTGAGTGATTTTAAAAAAGAAATCGCGTGAACAGACTTTTTATTTTCATCCCAGTAACATGGATGGTGTAACTCACGTGTTCAGATATGTAACTCGCATTATTGATCAATGTAAATCAAGCCCATCCAAAATGTAATTTATCAAATATTGATTTCAATGTAAACAATGAAAAAAAGATTCTAATTGCACAATTGCTTTAAGTTAAATGTGAATATGTTTTGTTTTTAATATCATGGCCATAAAAAATACTACCTCCGTTCCTTTTTTATTGGGACGGAAGAGGGTGGTGTGGGTTTTAAGAAAAGTGAGTTTGTGTGGTTGATATTAATTTATAAAGTAAGAATAAAGTAAGAATAATTTTGAGCCACACAAACTTTACTAAATAAGGTATGAGTCAATTAAATAGGGACATCCCATTATGGTAAAACAGAACATTTAAAAGGGGACAAAGGGAGTAATTTTTTAGAAAATATCATTTTTTTTGTTTCAATAGCAGGAATTGATTTTTTAATGTAACTCGTGTTATTACAAATGCAACTCGCGTTGATGGCAAATGTAACTTGAGTGTATACATAATGTAACTTGTTGGAAAATTGATTTGTGTGTTTGAAATATTATAAACATTGATTTCAATGTAAAGAATGAAAAATTGATCCTGAAAGCTTAATTGTTTTTTTTTAAAATAGTTAATATGTTTTATTTTTAATATTAGGACAATAAAAATGATATAGTAGGAGTTTATTTCGTGGTGTAACTCGCATACATTAAGATGTAACTCGCGTATATTAAGATGTAACTTATTTGGGATAAGGGTCAGATAGGGCCTCGAACTTAGAAATAAATGTCAAATAAGGCCATATTTAGGATGTTGTGTCCGGATGACGCCATTTGGGGCGGTTCCCGGTGAAATTGTTTGATGAAATTTTTTGAGAATCTTATTCATTAAGTCTAGTTTAGTCATATCAAATTTGAACTAACAATTCAATCGGGAAGGCATTCAAATGAATTCTTGAAGATAACTGCGCTTTTAACTGCACAGTTATCTTCAAGAATTCATTTGAATGCTTTCCCGATTCAAGTTTTAGTTCAAATTTGATATGAGTAAACTAGACTTAATGAATAAGATTCTCAAAAATTTTCATCAAAAAATTCCACTGGGAACCACCCCAAATGGCGTCGGCCGGACAAAGCATCCTAAATATGGCCCTATTTGACATTTTTTTTCAAGTTCGAGGCTCTATCTGACCCTTATCCCAACTTATTTTGATAAAAAAATGGAAAAACTTATTTTTATATTTAGAACCAGTTTGATAACATTGAAATTGACCAAATCGACTGATAGTGCTGAAATTTATGCAGCTCTGTCTAAAGAGACTGGATTAGCCAATTCTCCAAAACTATGGAAAAAAATTCAAATATATTTTATTAATAAAATAAAGAAGAATATAATATTTATCTTTTATAATCAGAATCAGTTTTTTAGAAATTAAAAGTAAAGAGGTAAATGCATCTATTATAATCAGAATCAGTTTTTCACAAATTAAAGTATAAAGGTTATGTATCTTAGAAATTAAAAGTAAATGAACTTCATCCCTCCAATGCATACATGATGATCGACTTAATAAAAAAGTTTGTGGTGGTGGTGGGGGGGGGGGGGGGTGGAACAACATTCACTCTTCATAGTAGAAGAGTATTAGAAGGATCCAGGCAACCATACCAAGCTGTTCTGATGGGGTATAGCCGAGTGCCTCGCAACTAAGTCAGGCAGATCCACTTTGACAATTTCGTGTGTCACAAGGTTGTACACAAAAACGGTGAATGTAAAAAGTACGCCACTCAGAGTGAAGGCTAAAAGCTCTTTGTATTTTATCCAACCAATTGGCCGGACCTCTTGCCCCTTTTCCAAACCCAACCGTTGAAATTTCCTCTTTTGATCTTTAATAACAATATCGGGCAGCTTTCTCCACTCTTTGCTTTCTGGTTCCATCTCCCAAACATGCCATCCGAACCTCTCAAACTTCATCAAGTAAGACAACTTGCTTCCCGTTGACACCCAGGTACTCCCAGGATTCCCAGGAACTCCATGACCTTGAGGGATCGGGGCACTGCTCTCCTCAAACATTTCAGTCTCTACATTTAAAGTCACAACTGTCGATACACTAGTCAGCCAATGCATAAAGCCTTCCGTTGTACGGGGGGAAATTTCGGCAAGTCCA